CACACACACACACACACACACACACACACACACACACACCTGTCTGGTATTGGCTAGGCTGCTTTGAGGTATCCCTTGGAATCAGAAACAGGGTGCATTGTCTTATTTTGGCCACCCAGTGGCAGGAGAGCAAACCAAACAGAACCACCATATGTGGCTGTAAATGCTCCCTGTGCAGCAGCTCCTCTCTGACTGTGTCTTGTGTTTGCTGCTTTATAAGGCCACAGAATCTCCTCGGAGCTGCAGAGGTGATGATGACTCTGTATGGGTTTATTTCTTTAAGCAGAACTGACACTGCAACTAAAATTTGCTGCTAAAAACAGGGAGAGATGCCAGCTACTCATAATTAATACTGTTTTCCCAGCAATTATTCTGTAAAGACAAACAGAAGGAAACCTGCAGAAAGACTGCAAAAAGTCTGAAGTAAAGCAAAACTATCATTCACAGGCTACGGCACCATGAAGTATACAGAGATAAAACACAGTGTGCTTCGGATGTCGGTCAGGCTGCTCTTTAGGTTAACCGCAGACACACACACACACACACACACACACACACACACACACACACACACACACACACACACACACACACACACAATCACAAAGATTAAAAATGATTTAAAAATCATGACAAACAGATTCCAAACAGCCAGAAAAACATTTAATCTGACTTCAAAATGACTGCAGTCAGAGACAAAACAAGCATGAAAATGCAAAACACCAATAAAGACACACCAAAAACTCCAGAGTGACAACAACAGCCGCAAGGAGATAAAGAAATGACTCGAGTTTGATGACAAAGAAACACAAAATGATTTCAAGGAGATGTAAGGTAAAAACTGAGGACTAAGGGAAAAAACTACAAAACAGTCATACGATACTTAAAACCTGTTCAGAATAAGTAAAAAAACACATGTGGAATCTCCACAAAACAAAGAAGATTTTAGTTTACTAAGTGGTGCTGTTTGTCACTGCATCACAGATCAGTGACAAACAGCACCACCATTATCCCTAAATAGACTGAGAATTATTTAATGTGTACATCATGTAAATACAGGCAGTACAGGTAGGCTTAGTTTTACAAAAAAGAGTTTTTCTTTAAATGTTTAATGTTGTCATCCTTATTTCAGTTATTATGTGTTTGGATCTTGATTGTTGTGTATGTGTGTGTGCGTGCATGTGCTGTCTCAGTAGTTACCAGGCCACCATGACTGAGACTGTTGTTCCGACTGGATAACAGCAGGGTTCCTGGGACAGTGTGGGTAATGGGGCACAAACAGTTGCATCTCTGCAGTTAAATGCATAATGTAAATGCTGAGTTTACTTTCTGAGAAGAATCTACAATTTAGGTTTAGGTTTTATGAAGTGCTTTTAACTTAAAATTTGACCTTTTTCAACACTGATCTACTCTAAGGTTCATCCTTCTTTGGAACTTTACACTGTAAAGCTGGTGTTACTCACCATCAAGTTAACATCACTATTTTTAGGAAAATAGTTTGTATAATTCAAATTCAAGTAGAGCCAGCTTATCATGTTTTACAGTGACATGGGCTGATGGTTTCGTCATCAGGGTAAACATAGTTATGGTGGATAAAATGCACAGAACAGGTGTTTTGTTGGGTGATGATATAATGAATGTCACAGATATCAGAGCAGAGCATGTAGTGTAAAAACAAACTCCAGTGTATTCCAAGTCAGCAGATTTTTAGCTCGTCCAGTTGAAGGAGTGATGGGCTCCCAGGAATCACTCCTCTGGTCAGAATTGAATCAAACATACGCACGAGGATCGGCTAAACTATACTCAAGGTCAATGTCAAGGTCAAATCAGTCTTACTATTTATTTTAATTCTCATTAGTTTGTGCAAAACAACCAATCAGTGACAAGAAAACCTTAAATGAAAATTTTATTTCTGTGCTTCACACATCACAAAAACCCGTGAATTGTGATGGATCTTGAGCCCAATGAGCTCCTTGGTCCTGATGTTTTGCTTGGAATAAAATATGTTTTAAGGTCTTTTTAGAGACTTTATGACAGCAACCAGAAAATGCACTACACCCATGAAGAGGCTGAGGCCATGAGAACATAATTAAAAAAGAAAGTATGTAACAACTTCCTGTTTAAGGATAAAGATGCGTTTTCATACTCGTCAGATCCAACTAATCCCAAATATCCAGGAGAAAATAAGAATGCCAACGTTTTTGTATTTACAGCAGAAAAGTTTCAAACTACAAAATGAGGAGAAATGCGATTTATCCTGCTGCTGTCCATCTGTGTCTGTTTTGATCAATCCTGGACTTCACTTCATGGTTTGAGGTCATAAACAGGCTGCAAAGCCAACATCACGCAGCACCTCTGTCGGCCTGCAGGTGGCAGCAACTGCTGCTCCCTGCAGTTGTTTGGACACCGCTGGACCTTCAGTGCATCCAAAACAGACTCACTTTAATCAGACCTCATTCACATTTAATAAATCTGTAATTTAATATACACAAAGGCATCGATGAGAGACCTGTGACGGCAGGAAACATTAAAACCAGTTTATATCAGCGCTTTATTACATTTAAGGAGGTCCTGCTTAATGCAGATTTTCCTTGTATTTCATCGTTGTAACCTGCCAGTGTACTCTCAGATTACTGATGAGAGCTTAGTGTTATTAGCTGCCCTCTGGATCATCAGTCCTGGACTTTTTTCCATGGCTGTTCAGATTATTTCCATGTAAGTCAGAATGCTGAAATGTAGTCTCACAGACAAACAGCTGGTCCGATCAGTTGTTTTCAGAACCTATAAATCGACTGAGTCCTTATGAAATGTTTTCCCAGTTTTATTTGCAGACTGGACATACTCGAGCGCTGCCTACAGTTTCTAAGACCTAACGAGCTCACAGACAGAGTACGGGGATGCTGTGATTCAGGGATGTGTCCTGTAAATAAAAGCAGCTCACAACAGGCCTTTTTTATTTAAAGCCGACCTGTTTGCAGCGTGTTGTGTGACCGGTTCACTGTTACGTAACGCAGCGTGTCACACGGAGAGCCGGAGAAATGACAGCTATAACAAGCATCGCGCTAACTGACTGCTTCTCCCTGGGGAGCGTTTTTGGTTAGATTCCTTTCTTGTGACCTCACCCCTTCCTCCCCCTCCTCCTCCTCCCTCTGCATGTCCTCTCTGAACATATGCATGCAGCCGGTGCAGGCGGAGGTAAACAGGTTTCCCCTTGGATGACACGGACGGGGCAGAGTTACACTCTGACAGCTATTGTTAGCGTCTTTGTCAGCGCTGAGGGAATCTGTCCTGAAGCCTCGAGTGGCCTACAGCGAGCTACAACACCACCACCACCACCCAGCCCACTCCTTTTTCCACTTCATGACAGACAAACAGGCAAAAGCAGCAGCACTGAGGTAAAGATGGAGGGAGGACAGCAGGAGTGAGAGCACGAGACAGAGGAGATTTATGCTGACAGCCAAACCAGAAAAACAAAAAAAAACCCAGTAAC